GGCTCAATAGAGGAACTTTGGCAAGAATATCTTCATGATGGTGGACATCAAGTGAGCCCTGAAAGTGCCTGGAAATCCACATTGCACTCTCCTGACCGATTTATTCTTCCACTTGCCCAAGTGTAAAGGCCAGGACTGGATACAGTGCAGGTTTTCTGATCCCATGCAGACCGGGTAAAGGAGGAGTCAGAGTCCTCAGTAGTTTTTTGCAGGTTATTTATTTGGGGTTCACCACGCATATGGCAGGCAGGGGTGCTGGCTGGGGGGCTGGGAGGCTGGCAGGCCTTCCAGCCCCCAGCAAGTCTTCACTCTATCTGGACTCTTTGGCGTTCGTTCTGCTGCTTCTCGGCTTCTGCTTCGGCTTCTACTGCTGCTTCTGCTGCTACTGGTGCTGCTGGCGTCCCCCCGTGACGCCGCCCTTAAAAGCACAGTCTTAGCTCAGCTGAATCCCATCTACCTATGCCCACACCCTATTCCAGGTGCCCGCCATCAGGCATGCATTCAGGCAAGGATCCATCATCTATCCTGATGGCGGAAGGGCAGAAAAGCCTGATATTTTCTTTACCTTACAGTCCACCCCCTCAGGGTTTTCTGCCATATAGTCTTTATATATACACAATTTTCTAAGCAAACAAACAATGCAGCCATGGCCCACAAAAGCAAATACATCAAATATAACAAAATACAACAGAACACAAATAAGTCCAGGCAGGGAACCAACCAAGTGCAAAAGACAATTATTGGTACCAGCAGATGAGCCACCAAATCTGCTGCTGAAGGCACTGCTCAGACGAGGGAGGGGAAATCACTCACGGCATCTACTATATCACACCAGGAGCCGTCAGGCTTCCTGGCCTTCTCTGGCTGTAGTCTCGGCTACAAGGCACAAACAGCATCCACCCCCAGGATGCACTAGCTCTGGGATTGGCAATCCTATTCTGTTGGGAGTAATCGCCAATCCTCAGGGTTTCTGTCTGCAGTCGCTCCAACACTCGGCCTTCATGGCCACCCATGCGACTCGCAGACCCCTGCACTCAAGCCAACCCACTGCACAAGCACATGGGTCAGGGATCCAAACTCTGCATTCGGCTTGGGCTCCACCCCAAGCCACATTCCCCACCCGTCCCCCAAGGACAGGTTCCTCAGCTCCTCACCCTCACTCAAGAATGAGCAGGGCATCACCCACAGGTGATTTTACGAGACTCACAGTTCTTCAGCATACCCAGGCTGCTTAACAGCCGCTTAGGGCTTCTCAACTTAGCATCAGTACCAGCTTTTGCCTTCTTAGTTGGCTTTTCTCCTCCACCTGGCTGCTGGGCATGCACAGGTTGCTTTTGGCCATCAAGGCCCACTGGCCACCCCCAGATTCTCAAAAAAAAAACATAACCTGCCAAGGTCCTCCGCCTTCTGGAGGGATTGTCAGTCCAAGTTTATCAGTCCATGTCCATCAGTTGAAGTCCATTGGCCTCTCCTTGCGTCAGCAACGGCCTGCTGCCTCAGGGGTCATTGGCTGGTCCTTTCCAGTGTCGTTGGCTGGTCCTATCCGGTGTAGTTGGCTGGTCCTTTCCGGTGTTGTTGGCTGGTCCTTCCGGGCGTCTCCTTCACACCAGGTCTCATCCTGTAGCTCGTGGACGTATCCATCTTCTATACCGCCATGGCGCCTCCAGCGTCGTCACAGGCAGTCTTTTACTCCTTAGTCCCTCCAGGTCTTCGGAGAGCTCCAATACCCATCTGCATGGATCCTGCCGACTTACGCCAATTGTAAAGGCCAGGACTGGATACAGTGCAGGTTTTCTGATCCCATGCAGACCGGGTAAAGGAGGAGTCAGAGTCCTCAGTAGTTTTTTGCAGGTTATTTATTTGGGGTTCACCAGGCATATGGCAGGCAGGGGTGCTGGCTGGGGGGCTGGGAGGTTGGCAGGTCTCCCAGCCCCCAGCAAGTCTTCACTCTAGCTGGACTCTCTGGCGTTCGTTCTGCTGCTTCTCGGCTTCTGCTTCGGCTTCTGCTTAGGCTTCTACTGCTGCTTCTGCTGCTACTGGTGCTGCTGGCGTCCCCCTGTGACGCCGCCCTTAAAAGCACAGTCTTAGCTCAGCTGAATCCCGTCTACCTATGCCCACACCCTATTCCAGGAGCCCGCCATCAGGCATGCATTCAGGCAAGGATCCATCATCTATCCTGATGGCGGAAGGGCAGAAAAGCCTGATATTTTCTTTACCCTACACCAAGCTACCAACACATAGTCCCTGAACCTCATTCTCAGTTGCTATTTCACTGAGAAATTATTTCCCCTCCCCACTTCCCATACTGGATGAATTGCAAGGGGTGGAATTGCTATCAGGCATCTCCTAAATGTGTATTTACCCCCATAAGTGACCTCAACCTGTCAACCTAAACTGCCATCCCCTGCTGCAGTTGAGATTTCATCCCGGGAGGTACTTGGAATCCCCTGCTTCATTTCAGCCATTGGAGTAGGCTGCAGGGGTAGCTCAGTGTGATTTTAATTAGCATTCCCCTAATCACTCATGATGTTCACCATCTGTTTACATTCTGATTTGCCACATGAAAAGGTCTATTCCAAAATTTTCTCATCTTTTTAAATTGAGCTCATTTTTTTGTTAATGTTCAATTTTGAAATGTGTTTATATGTTCTGGATACAGGTCTCTGTCAGATACCTGAATTGCAGATATTTTCTCTCAGTCTGTGGCTGGTCTTATCTATGCCTAACACTGTCTTTTGCACAACAAAAGTTAAAGTATCGAAGAAGCCAAATTTGTCTTTGTGTTTGGCATTGTTTAACCCTGGGTCACTCGGGAAATTTTAACAACCAGTTAAATTTTCCAAGTTTTCACCACCATATTTAGTTCTTTGCAAGCATGTTTGCCATGCCCAAAATCCAAACGCCACCACCCTAATCTCTTACAAGTGCTTCCTCATATATTGTTTCTTCAGTGAATCCAACTCTCATCACTCTATTTAAACCTCTAGCCCACCAATTTACCCTTTTAGCTTTCCCAGTCCCCCATCCTTTTTTTCCCGTAAAATCTATTACTTTCTAACATACCATGCAATGTACTTACATATTAGATTTTGTGTACTACCTGTCTTCCCCTTGCAAAATTTTACATTTCCCCAGGACAGGAATCCTTGTCTTTTTTGTTCACTAAGTAACCTCAAGTGTCTAGAACAGCACCAAGTATATAGTAAGTGCTCCAGTAAATATTTCTGATGAAAAAGAATAAATCCTCACCACAATATTATGAAGAAGGCACAATTCTTCTTTATCAGATGAAGAAACTGTAGCTTTGGGAATATAAGCAATTTGTTAAAAGGCATACTGCTTGTACTGGCAGGACCAGGCCTCTAACCCAGGCCTCTGTCCTAGAGCTCACATTCACAATTCCATACCTGGTAGTGTTTACCCAAGATTGATAAAGGGTGGGAAGTGGGAGGGAGATCAAGATGAAAGATGGAAGAAAAAGGAACTCTCCTGCACTGCTGGTGGGAGTGCAAACTGGTCCAACCACTATGGAGACCTGTGTGGAGATTTCTTGAACTACTAAACATAGAGCTTCCATATGATTCAGCAATTCCACTCCTAGGTATTTACCCAAATGACACAGAAACAGTAATTCCAAAGGGCACCTGCACCCCTATGTTCATAGCAGCACTATTTACAATAGCCAAGCTATGGAAGCAACCCAAATGCCCAAAAATAGATGACTGGATCAAGAATATGTGGTACATATACACAATGGAATATTACTCAGCAATCAAAAAAGATAAACACATGCAGTTTGCAGCAACATGGATGGAGCTAGAAGGGATCATGCTCAGTAAAGTAAGTCAGAAAGAAAGAGAAAAATACTGGATGGTCTCACTCATAGCAGGAATTTAGAAAACCTAAATAAGAGATCAGGAAAAAGACAAATCAATACAAAGTAAAAATCAAAATCAACAAGCAACTATAAACTAGAGACAAACTACGGGGTGGGGGGGGAAGGAGGGGAAGAAAAAGGAAGGACTAGAGTCAAAATAAGGGGGGGGTGCAATTGTATGGGAAATATAACCAAAATGAAAATGCATACATTGTGCAAAGATGAAAAAAGATGTAAGAATTATATAAAATGAAATATCTTAAAAAAAAGATGAAAGATGGAGTGGGCAGTTGAGGAAGAATTGAAATAAATCTTTGTTTGATAAGCTAAACAATTTGGACTACTTTCCATAGCATAAGCTCTGAAGTGAATTGTGACATAATTAAATCTGCATTTTAGAAAGATAACTCAAATAGCTTCTAAGTAAAGCAGTTGAAGCTAACAAATTGCCAGTGGAGATGACATATTTAATGGAGCTTAATCCAATTATAAGATTTCCAAAGCTAAAAAGTTACTTGTCTCTTAATTCATGAAGATGTTGTTCATTAAACTCAATCCACACTTAGAAAAAGTCTGACACCGCATAGTTATGTGATTATTTTTTATTCACATATATTAAATATTGACAAACTAAACAAATGAAATGTTTTCCATTTAGGGGCAGTCACAGTTGTCAGTGATGTTCCAAAGCACCAGCCCTGAGATGAGACATGATGTTTTCATCAGGGGACAAGTTACATATCACCTTGCACAGTCAAGTGCTGACATTTTATTAAAGTGGGACTCAGAATGAGAGAGATGTTCTCAAACAGACAATGATGGGGTTGCATTATTTCATTTTTAAGTGTTCATTATATCATCAAGTAAAATAAATGCACAACTCACAGCTGCCTGTGATCATATAATCTTACTTAATTAATCATAAAAAAGGGGTCAAGTAGTAACAAGATACAAGAATTATAAATAATATATATATTAATAGTCTTTTTAGTTACATAAAAGTTGCTATTATAAATACTTTGATTTATGAGTCTAAAATATATTATCCATATAAATAAGGTAAAATATTAAATATTAATAAATAGATTTGGAGTTAAAATTGAAAGATTTCAGTGGATGACCATTATTTTGATGCTCTCCGGCCTTGAATCTGAATTTGACTCCTTCTCCGCTTCCTTAGGTTAGATCTTGATGACAGATCACTCATCACAGATTGGAGCTCACTTATTGCTTTGCGCTGAACCTTCAGATCATTGACCTATGGATAAAGAAAACAGCAAAATTAATTTAGGCACATAAGCCATGAGGATATTCTACCATTAATGTCATGGTCCCTGAAAATGGAAGTGCTCCTTCTAAGAAATGACTTTCAGCAGCATTACACTAAAATACAATGTGATTTCTTTAGCAATTAAGTCTGAAATTATAATTAAATTGCTAGTTGTACTGTAATAAGGTAAAGCACACCATGTATATTTTTTATGCAACAATATATTAATTTCTTTATTTTTTCATTTTTTAAATTTACATATATTTTATATCACTGTTCATTTTTTAAATTTTTTTGAAGATTTATTTATTTATGCATACAAGAACTGGGGTACAGGCCAGAGGTGTGGGCAGTGAGAGAATTCACCAGAGGCAGCGGGGAACAGAACAGGCAGATTGACTGAAATACACTGCTGAGGGGAGCAGCGGGTGAGGCAGGAGAGGTCTGCTGTGCCATGTGGGTAGCTCCCTGGCTGGGGATCAAACTCATGCTTCAGTGGCTGCAGTGAGCTTCACAGGTTGCCTCTTAACCCCTTGTGCCACCATGGAGGCCCCATCGTTGTTCATTTTTAAACAATGATTGCTTCCCCCCACCCCCTCAGGTGTAGTCGCCATAGAAATTCCTTCAATTTACTATTATAGAATTCTCAAAATTATATAATGAAAAGATCCCTAAGGTGACAAAAGATATAGGTTTGAGTCCTTCATGTGCAATTACTGACTTTGAACTACTTAACTTCTCTGAAACTGTCTTTTCACCTAAACAATGAGATTAAATAGATGATCTCTAAGCTCACTACCAAATCTATCACCTTACACTTTAGTCTTTGCTTTAACTATCAAGTGAGTTACTATAGGTCAGTGGTTCTCCCTTTGGTGGGTAGCATGATAACCCAGAGGCCCAATAAAGCAGTCAGAGTCCCAAGGGCATGAACTTGAAGAAGGCCTGGGCTGCTGTGCAGTCACCGAGCTCCCCAGGTGATTCTGACCCCCACCACAAGCCAAAGACCACTGGTAGAAGCTTCATGAACACCAAGTCCAGAAGAGATAACGTTCCTTAAATGTTCCTCTACCCTGCCTTTCACTCCAACAAATTGAACTATTTCACTCTGACCAATAGAACCTTTTAAGTGAATTGGTAAACAAAATGAAGTCCATTCATTTGCCACCTGGTTCTGCCACTATGTTTCTTTCTAATGCTGGAAATACTATGACCATTTGGCAAGATTTCTGAGAATGACGAGGGGTATTCTTGGCTACCAGGCTTAAAATGCCTTAAATACGTTAGCAATTGAGTAAAAAATGACAATTATTGAGAGCTTACTCAAGCCTGCCCATTATGAAGCGGGACTCTTGGAGTTTCCAAAGGATATGACAAACATTTTTTTTCAAGGCCCAGTTATAGCAGAGTCAAAGAGTTTCTACCAGCTGTGCATTTGCAGGCAAAATAAATTTCATTTCTCCAGGCTTGAAGAGTCACTGAGAAACTAAGAACTATCCAGGAATTAGCAAAAAGGGGCAGCACTGGGTTAGGAATGAGTGCTTTTCCAGTCCCTAGCAGGTAGGCAAAAGAGATTTGCGCAACACTGGAAAACACTAGCTGGGGAAAATAGTAATGAATAGTCTTATAATTTTTCCAAGCCACTGTTGTACCACCTCAAATTTTGAAAAGTACACACTAATTTCAGTTCCTAGGGGCCTATCTGAGCGGAATGACAGGCAGACCCAGGTACAGGGAGAGCTGAACACTAATCTTTGGATCACAAATCAGAATAGGACCCCTCCGCTGTGGTTCAAGCCTATTTAGACCAAAACCAAACCAAAGACATCTAGAGTTCTGCCTCCAAGACACAAATTTGAAAAATGTGATTTGTCTTTAATGCTTCAACATTACCTTCAACTTCTAAAAGTCATAACTTTAAAGTCTTAAAAAATTTCATGAGATAAAGCTGGGGAGTCCTAAGGACTTCTCCAGCTGAGATATTGTAATGCCCAAAGTTGCTAAGCAATTGTGGATTGATAAGGTATACATTCTATTTCCTTTTCTAAAAAAGAGACACGCAAACATTCGACTCTGTTTGGGATGTACAACATGAGAGAGTGATGCCCCTAGTGAATTCTCGAATGTCACAGCCTTTTCTACCACCGTGTTTTCATTTTCTATCCATAGCATCCTAGCGTTTGCAGAGCAATGGGAGCTATAGAAATTATAGCAAACTCAAGAGGCTCCTTTCTAAAAGGAGGAAACTGAGCCTTGGTGACTGAGTTAGGGGGAGCACAAATCTCCCCGCCTCCCACTGCTCTTTCCATTAAGACAGATAGCCTCCATCCAAAGCAAGAGAATTTCCATCACACAAATAAGGGGTAACGAGACAACAGCTTCTCAGTGATTCCCCTCGACACGTCACTACTTCCTCCTCAGCGAATCAGCCCATTCACCGTCTTCACACAGTAATCACAACACCCGCCTTTTCCCAAATCACAGGTATGAGTGATTCCCATAGAACATTGAAAAGTTACCTAAAATATGAACAGATTTAGTAGGGAGGAGTTTAGGCCATGGGTTCATTTCATAGCTTTAATAATTAATTTCCACTTTCAGGGAATTAAGTACTTTGGAGGACCGTCAGCAATAAAACCAAAGAAAGAATTTAGAACACCTCACCTGAATATCCATCAGCTTTTCGAAGTCCTCCCGTTTGCTGTCGCTGCTTCTGTTGGTGCTATTGAAGAACATAGAGACCATGTTTGCCTTGATGTTTTCCATGCTTGTTTGGATGATCTGGTTGTCTTTATAATTGTTAAAGAGTTTGAAGTAGAAGGACACGATTTGGCTCTGAATTATTTTTTTGTCACTGTCCTTGGAAACAAAGAAAATATGGAGATGTTGATGTGAATTTATCCATCAGAAAATAAGCAACAGGAAAATTAGTCAAATGGAAAATTCAGCTTACCTCTTTCCAATTCTTCAAAATATCTCTGAAAAGATACCTACCATCTGGTACATCTGAAGTACTTGCATTCTGGAAAAAAAAATTGATTTTTTAATTTGTCTCAAAGCTGTCCTAAGCATATATATCCAGTTTTGTCAATTCAGATGCTAAAAATAATTACTGATTTTCTTTACAACCCTTCTGCTTACTTCTAACAGTATTTCCAAAAGCTTTCAGCGCAAAGACATTATTTTAGTTTTCCTATTTTCTAGTATAATCTCTAAATTACATTATCACAAATGAACCCAACAAGACTGATGATACTTCAATTGTTCCAACTATAAGAAAAAGAAAGTGTTTTCAAGTCCAATAGACAAATCAGAAAAGCCATTCTACTATAAAATACTGCCCCCCTATGGCACAGGTCTCTATAACATCTACCTATGCCACCCTAAATAATAGGTTATTTATCACCTTTAAATGGTAGTTCCAACTGAACCCTGTGTATGTGCGTGAAATTTGATCTTGTGAGAATAAAATAGCTTGCCAATGTGATTATATTTAAGAACTATAGTTATCATAAATTTTGGACAAATAACAAAATATTTAAAATGTAAAAACTTTTAGTTAAGCATAAATAAAATTTTTAAAATGCATTCATAAAAACAAGAAAGAAATTTTTAAAATGTAAGCCAGATTATAACACTTACAAAATCTCAGCAACTGATTGCATTCCAGAGAAATTCATAGATAGTATAGATGGGGCAGTAGAAATTTAATAACACTTTTTGAAGAAAAAAGTATCGGCAAGTGATTTTTTAAACCAAATCTTTAAGGACTTCACCTTTTTAATTGATCATTTATTTCAGATTACAATTTTAATGTTAACCTTTTACTCTCACCATAATAAATCTGAGAAATCAATAACTAATAACCAGTCACTTTTTCAATATGCGTACTACTTGATATCACAATTAAATGGATTCTCACCACAAAATTACCCTATTATTCTGCCCTATACTCACATTATAACCATTCTTCGGAAGATTCATGAATGCCCTCTAAGCTCTAAAGCAGAATGAGCAGGGACCTAAGCAATATCTAGATCATTTAGTAAAAACTCATCCAGATGATGAAACAGTCAAACAACATAAAGTCTTCCCAAAATGACTGTGGTCTAAAGATGACGGCCTATTACAGATAAAACTCCAAGTCAACATTCAGTCATTTCATCCAGAAGAAAATATTATTAAAAGATCATACTTACAAAATAGTCCTTTAGGTTGTCTATTTCCTCAATACATGAAACCTGGCAGCAATAGGTAGATGAACCCAAAAGCACACAAAGCTGCAAAGCTAAGATACAGCTTGTATAATTCATTGTTTCAGAGAGAGTTGGGTGAAAGTAGCTGCAATCAGTAGCTCCTGTATTAGGTTGATCAGGTTCAACAAACTTCGCTGATCTTTCTTTTGTAAGAGCTGATCTACAGATGATCAGAAAAATGTACTGCATCTCCTTTTGCCACCGGTATTTATACCTAGTTGAAGTCTCATCGGATTACGTATTTTCACAAGTTTTTTAAGATGAGATGGTGTCAGATAGGCAGAGATGGTAGTTAGTTAGTATTAATAACTATGGTTTGTGGCATTTTGGTGTTGTAGGTAGAGTTTCCTTTCAACTCCTTGGGCGTTTTGGCAATGAGACAGAAACATTATGCCCACCTGTGCCATTTTTGTGGCATCCTTTGAAAGCACTTTTACTTCACACCATTCAGGAATTGGAAATTCTTTTGCACCCTCTCCCTTTGCTCTTGTAAAATGTTGACTCTTCATCCACAGAGGACATTGATCATTTGTTTGTGGTTGGGATTAAGTGAAAAAGGAAATTCTAGGGACTCTCAAACCTTTACGAAGGGGGTGCGTTTTAAAATTTTTCTGCCAAGTGACTAGAAAGCAAAGACAGAATGTGGTTAAAAGACCACGGTGGTAAGGAAGTCCTTCATCAGAGTTACTTAGTAGAATGTCTACCACAACTTTAAAATTGCTCTGAACAAACACTGCCTATTAGAAATATAATAAAAGCCAAATAGGTACATTTATATTTCCTACTAGCCTCATTAATAAAATTAAGAAGAAATGTGTAAAAATCATTTTTAAATAGATTGTATCAAATCCAATATATTTATTTAGCAATATACAAAATTGCAATATACAAAATTATTACTATGATATTTTATAATTCTCCTTATCATGCTAAATCCTAGAAATCAAGTGTGCATTTTATAAATATCTCACATCTCAATTTAGACTATTTCAAATGTCTAGCCCACATGTGACTACAGGCTACCACAGAGAACAGCATGATTCCAGATGATCGATTGTTTCAATTCATCACTAAAAGGATAACTCCCTTTTTTTACTTTTTGTTTCTTTTCCTTTCAAATGCAAAAAAAAAGTGAGGATTCTGTCCACTCTCCTGGTTATTGATTTATAAAGGACAACACTTCAGGATGGTGCAAAAGACCCTCGCTCATCTTTGATTCCAGCTCACCAGCTACCCACTGGTAGGTGTGGTATACTGGTACACAGTGTTCATGGATACACACTTGAATCTGGGCTCCGCTATTGTCAGACAATGTGATTTTTAGCCAGCTTCTTAATTTTTCTGACTCACTTTCTTACCTTTAACATGACCTAAAAACCATATCTCCTTCTAGACTTCAGTTGAAAATTGAATCAAACGATACATAAAAATTGCTAAGAAATTTGCCTGCTGTGTAGTAAGTACTCAATAGAAGTCACCTATTGCTACTTGGGCATGATGTTTAGACATTAATAGTCTTTCTTTTTTTCTATATTAACTTTATTATTATTTTTTTATTTTTTATTTTTTACATTATTGTTCATTTTTAAACAATGTTTGCTCTCCCCCCACACACACTTCAGGTGTAGTCCCCATAGAATTTCCTTCACCAATGCACACATGCACGATCAAGCACTCCCCACACTGTTGCTCATGCTGTTTCTTTGGTCTTGAACTCCCTTTCCCCTCATCTGTACCCCTCAGAGTGGTAGCCATCCACACAAACCCAGCCTAAAAACCATTATCTCCAGGAGTTCACCCCACATTATCCTTAAAATCAACCTCACATCCTCCTAAACAGGCCTAACACTTGGTTCATACTTTTCCTAGAGTCCCAATCATTCACACTCATACTAGAAACAGCTACTCCTGTGTCTTCCTCTATGCAGGACTGAGTTCATGGTAATCAGAAATTATTTCATTGCTTCTATAATTCTTTCTATAAAGAATTTCTTCTTTAAAGAAATTTTACATGGAAGGAGATTTGCCCATAGACAATACTAAGAGAAAGTGAATCTAGATGCTTAACTGTCTACTGTGAATTATTTTCCCTCAAATTTGAATCCCAGTGTTATCAGACCTAACTCCTATGAACTAATTTTTAACTAAATAGGACACAAGATTAATGTTGGGGAAAAAATGCTGTATCTCTTTCACCAACTCCTATTTACTGGGACAATACCATGTATTATTGTATGTGAAAAAGATTTAAAAAAATGCTTTTCAGGGCTATCTTCCCAAAGAAGAAACAAGATTCTTTATCCCAAAGAATAAACAAGATTGAACCATATCTGCCAGAATAAAGTTTCAAGTTAAGTAAATGAAAAGTGCTCCTTCCCACAAAGCTCCCTTGTAGCTCTTCTTTTTTTTTTTTTTAAGATTTATTTATTTATGCATACAAGAACTGGGGTACAGGTCAGAGGTGCAGGGGGTAAGGTTCACCAGAGACAGAGTGGGGAACAGAACAGGAAGATTGACTGAAATACACTGCTGAGGGGAGCAGTGGGCGAGACAGGAGAGTGCTGCTGTGCCATGTGGGTAGCTCCCTGGCCAGGGATCGAACTTGTGCTACAGTGGCTGAAGATAGCTTCATAGGTTGCCTCTTAACCCCTTGTGCCAACCAGGGAGGCCCTCTTGTATCTCTTCTTAAGGAAAAATGCAGCCCACATTATATTCTTACACAGTAAAACAATGACAAGGAACATTTAATAAAAGTCTTGATACACACTGCAGTTGCTCAACACCATCCGGGAAAACAAAGTCCAATCTCTAAGCTATTCTAAAATTTCTGGAAAGAAATAAAAATCTGTTCTGTCATCTTTTGGTTTATCCACTGGAATATGGAGTTAGGGATAAGAAGTGAAGAACAGCAGGAACCATAACTAGAAAATGTATACTCTGTAGATGTCTATAAGTTGATAATGCCTATTCATATTTACAGATATATGTTAGGAATATGTTTCCAATATGACCAAATGTTTAGAATTAGTAACTACATGGCTAAAATCCAAGCTCTGATAATTCTTGATCTCATGACAAAAAAGAATTATGAAATAACAGGGGTTATCATCTAGTGCCTCTTTTTTTTTGAGTTGTAACTCAAGGCCCAGAGAAACAATGTGCTATGCTTAAATTCGTTCAACTAGATAATGCAGGGATGTATCTAGAACCAAGATACTCTTTAAAACACAAATTTATTGACTTATAATTGACATATAGTAGTACTCATTTTAGATGTACAATGTAAAACTAAGATATTTTCCCTAATCTGCCTGTTCCGCAATTGATCAATATATATTAAGATTATTGCATATGCCTATAATTGGGTTATATATGTGAATCCAAATAATTATATCCTATCAGGATTTTGTTTCTGAGAGCTTTTTTTCCTATAGGATTTGTGACATAATAGTCACTCTTCAATTCCTTTAAAAAATACACTACAAATAAAAGTCTGAAATTCTTGGTTAAACATCTTAGCAGACCAGATTTCTGGACCAATCTCTGAGTCTGTTAGAACCCCACACTTACAGAGCTCACCTTATGTTTAATACTCTGTCATTACATTCTTGACATTCCAAGTAACTCTTACATAAAGGCCCCTCATCATTTTGCAGATTTTCAACCAGTCCTGCATCCTAGGCTAGAAGTGAAAAACCTACTATTGTATTTTCATCTTTCAGTAGATTTTGGTTTAGAATGTTGCTGCTATAATAGCATATCCTTTTATGATCTTTTCCTGTGTTATCAACTTTACCAAAGAAGTAATTTCTCTCTCTTTTCTGCCTGTAAAACACCTATGTTGCACATGCAAACTAGAGGTTTCACACTTTGTTGGTCCAGCCAGCACTGAGACTGCAGAATAACTCACCACCAAGATACCCTTTAAAAGTTTTGCAAAGCCACCAGGAGCCAAAGTGTGACCATATTACTAAAACAAAGGGACTGAAAACTTTCTTTTTTCTTTGCAGCTAGGTTTTCTTTCTGAAAACTGGCTATGGTTATGCATTAAGCGTCAGCAAGATTTTCGATCGTATCTCATGCTCTCCTCAGACTTGACTGAGTAGGTATTCAGTCAAGATAAAACTTACACCTTGGTTTCCCTTTTTCCTCTGTGCTAAGCAGTCATATCCCTGGTACTCTCAACGAATTTTCTTGTCCAGACTTTGGGGTAAATTTCTTCCACTGAGGATGAGTCAATCTTGGATCCATGCCCCCACGCTATTTTGACTCCCGGAAACATCCTGACATCATGCAAGCTGAGCCTTCGGAAGAAAATGACATTCGGAATGGAAGTTTACACGGAGTCAGATTTTCCCCGCATTTTGACTCATAAAATCCCATATGTTCAAGGAGAGTTTTCTGAATCCCCCTTTTTCTTTCATGCTATCTGGGCAACTTTGAGAGATGACACAAAGAATATACTTGACATTATTCTTAAGTAGTATAGCCACCATCTTAAAATATCAATTTTATGTCAAATGGGATTGTGCATTGATAATCTAGAGATTCCTGGTCATGTTGTGAAGGTCAAATTCTTATACCACAGGAATTTTTTAGCACCTACTAAGTGCCTAGTACTATGAATGGCACAATTACCAAAGAAAAGTGGGACAGTTCTATTATGAATATACATGTTTACATCCCAATTTCAATCAATTAGTAAGTCCTTATTGGACACCCCCCATATTTCTATGGTTTTATGGATTACAAAGATGTTAACAGTGAGACAATCTGGCAGGAACTAGTGGTAGCTAGAGTGTGATTTTTTTGTTTGTTTTAATCACCTGTAAAATATCCATATTTTCCTTATTGTCTCCATGTGCATCCATCTCAGATGTTTCATATAGTTGAAGAGGACTGATTATTGGGCTGAAAAAAATACAAACCTGACATATGAATTGCACCTCTTCCTCTATGCCCATGGCAGCCATCACTAGTAGAAGTGGCATTCTTTCCTACTATATTTAGATGTCACTTCTAAATCCTTTCATCACTGAAATTTAGATACATACCAC